TTTTAGAATAACCTTATAAGTTTTTTGCTAACTATATAATAATCGATTTAAATATTAATTCTAAGTTTGCAAGAAGTAAATTATATTCAAAACATCTTGTTAAATACAAAAAAAAACCAATACAGGAGATAAAATGACTATGAGGATTATTCATATAAAACATTAAAACATTATGCCAATCCCGATGTAATTGTAATCACAGCAGATTTCTTAATTCTATTTAAAAATTTGCTATTCAAAATTCTAGTCATTATTAAAGTTGATTGCATTAACTCTACAGATCATAAATGTATCTTCCATTTTCTTTTTTTCAAATTGCCCTGATTCTTCTATTCCAATATTATTTACTAATATTGATTTTTTTGAACTCCAAATATCTAAAAGAGAATTTAAGCAAAATATAATATCGAGATTGTGATCTAGAGGTGACCTCTATAAATATATAATTGATAATATTTTAATGAAGACATGCTTTGAGTTTCTGAAGAAAGCGTTTTGAAACAAAGAACCAATATTTAAGTTTTCTTATTCTCTCTATCTTTATGTTTGTATAGATTTATAAAATAATAGTGGGACAGTTTAGTTGTGATGTAGAATATTAACATGCCATAGGTATATTTTAGAATTGATGATTAGGTATAAATACTTACCTCCTGAAAAACTTAGGTTGTAATAACAATCAGTAGAAAATATTTTAAAAAGTGTAACAAATAGGGATTGTTGTTTCTGAAATCAATGTTGCGAAGATTCATCATATTTATCATTTTTAGCGAATTTTAAGTTGAAATATAATCTTATCCAGCCACCATAATTTATGTGCAAAATAATAAAATATCCAAGCAAATAATAAAATTTATGAAGGAATGAACAAGGGTTTCAAAGGAGATTATAAATAAGTTACAAAGTATGAAGTAATAATTTAAATTTGAGTTTGATTAAATTAGGTTCTAAAACAATTTTGACAAATCTCAATTAAGTATTATGTTTTAATTTACATATATATACTATTAGATAATTATTAATGTAAGAATATAAATAAATCATAAATCATGGGCTGCTCTTTTTACTGATTTAGTATGTAAATCATAAAAAGAAAGAAAAATGTGAGATTGATATCAATTTTTTGGTACAACCATTTTTGATTTAAACTTATTTAGCTTTTTTTAAATTAATCCCTATTTTTTCTATCCTGTGAGATGAAATTTTTTCTATTCAACAAGATTTACGCCAATATTTCTGTAGCTATTGCTAACAGCTTTTTCCAACATATATCTTAATCCTTTAGTTCTCTTTAATAATTACCTTTTCATTTTAGATGATGTTAAAACTCAAGCACAAATTAATGTATACATTTTGATGATATGAACCATGTTATAATAGAGAGAATATAAATTTTTGTTGTTAAATTCAAGTTTGATTATTATTTAATTTTTTAAAAACTTTGGGTAATTGAAAAAGTAGAAGACAGTGAATGGATTTACCAGTTTTGGAAAAAGAACCATTTTTCAACGGAGTTTGAATGATGGAAGAAGAGAGAAACTTCGTTACTTGAAGACCCAAGATGTAATTTGAAAGATCTAATTCTTTAATCTGATATTTATCAAAATGATAGTAAATAAGTTTAAGAATTTAAAATTCTACGTCTAATCTTAATCTCTACAAAAATAGTTGCAATTAACTTAATTCAAACTGCTTTGTATAAATTAATTTAATACTAATAGAATGGAAGAAGATTAGATTAATGTATACAACAAGATCTAAGGGATTAACCTAAAATCACATAGTTATAGTTATTAATCAAAAAAAAGAAATGTAAAAGAATCTAAATAACTTTTTTCTGGGATTGAGTAAAACACTCAAATCAGAAGGTTTCATATTTAATATATTTGATAAGTTCGAAATTGGCTTTATCTACTAATAAACTTTACTATAAATATTTGAATTGATATCAACAAATTCTAGAGAGCTATTTAATTTTTTAAAGAAATAATCAAGTAAAAAATGATAAATTATCATATATATATATAGCTATGATTAGATGAACTTCATAAAAACAGAAGAAATGATTAATAAATCATTATAAAGATGTGAATAAATTTTTGAATTGATAAGGAAAATTGGAAAATTGTGGAGTTCAAGGAATTTCTAAAGTTCAATTAACTTTTTTGAAATAGGATCTCTCTTATAGTTGAAATAATTTTTTAGGTATTACTAAAGTCAATATCATATAATTTGGAAATAAAAATGATAAACTATCATTCTTAGAATTATATGGCAATGAAATTGTATGTTTAACTATTTTGAGTATTATTAATTTTAATTAAATTAAAAACTGATGGAACTAGGAAAGATGTAAGATTTAGAAATCTTGAGGAAAACACTTAGTTTTACCTGCCATTATGACATAAAATTAACATTCCTGGTATATTATTAAACATGAATCATATAGAATAATTAAGAGGTTCTTGCTTTTGTTTTTTTTACTTTATAATATTTAGACTTAAAGATATTTGTGTTATAAATCTATGGTTTATTTAAGAAATCACTTTATTTTATTGATCATTTAAGCTTAATGAAAATACTCTCTCAGTATGTTCAGTTATGATTTATTAACACAACCATTAATTCTATTTCATCCAAAATTTAATTGTATTATCACTACTCCCAGATATAATTAGATCATCATTATTATTCAACAATAAACATAATATAGAATCTAAATGTCCATTCAATATTTATTAGCAATTCCATTAATTCTTTCCATTCCCCTACCATATTATAATTAATTGATCATCACTCCCAGATACAAAATTATTGGTATCTTTCATGAAATTCAAAGTCCACACATAATCTGAATTTTCATTTAACACTTATAATTGATTCAGTTTTCCTAATATATTTTAATATACTTTAATCTTCTCATTACATCCAGTCACAACAATTGAGGAATCTTTATTGAAAGCAATTGCTATACACAATTAATATTACTTAATTGTATTTTATTCAATGAGGTCAAAGGTGAAAGGCTTTAGATTTGATTTTAAGATGCTTACCTGTTAGTTCTATTCTTAAATCAATGGCTTCATAATTTAAGATTATTGAATTTAGAAATTAATTTTCTACTTCTAATCTTTTTGAATCTTTGTTTTTTTTCTCTTATTTCGATTGCAATTTATTTAACTTATTGGATTGATTATTTGAGTTGGTTAATTAATTATTACTCACAAACTTCTATTTAACTTAAGCCTCTAATTATGTTATCAATCTAAGAGATTCCTATTTATTCGATATTTATGTGGAAGTAAGGAATAAATAATTTTATAAGACTTTCAAGGACTGATTAACACTGTTAAGCATTTTTTTATATATTGCTAATAACGAGAATTCTCCTTTCAATCCATTCATTTAAGCATTCCAAAGGTATTAATTTATTAATATTTTAAACATGATTAGATAAACAATAATGGCAATATGGCCTTTGATATTTACAGTTGCTCTCAATACAAATTCCTATTATCGACTGATTTTGATGATCAGCTTAAGTACATCTAATCTGCATTTTCTATTCAAATAAAATTAATATTAAAGTATTAAAAAATTCATTCTGATTATAAATTTCAAAAATTTAATTTATATTTTTATTTATTAAATGAATTTTAAAGCTAACATAATAAAGGGAGAAGAAATAAAAGAGAATAAATTGGTAATTAATATTTAAACATAATATAGAGCATAAAGAAAAGCTTAATACAATATATGATCCGACACTCATTCTTTATTCTTTAGAAATTTGTAATTAACATAATATTTTTTTCAAAAACAAAGTACATACTTTGTAAAAGAAATTAAATTAATAATTTTTTCATAATCTTTTGTATATTCGTTTCATTAAATTTAATTTGTGTAAGAGATATATACTCGAATTTCCCATTATCTGATTTCAAAAAAGCAAAGCTGCATTTATATTTTTATGAACTTCAAAAATTAAACTAAATCTCTTGTAACTTTGATGTCTACACCATCACCAAATTTTTTTTCATCATTATAATATAATCTAGATATATTCTTAGAATTAACATCTCCAATACGATTTATTTTAACCGATAAGTATAAATATGAAGATCCTATTATATCAAATATAGATGTTTATATATAATTTATTCTTCCATCTATTAAAATCACGAAAATAAGATAATTTTCTTATAACTTTAGACTCTACACCATAAACTCAAAATAGTATAAATATTAAAATATATCTTCAGGATGACAATAAGTGGGAATAGAAGAAGAGTTTAATTGGTATTATTTAAATTCATAAACAGATCATAATCATAATTGGTTAGAATTGTTTCTAAACTAATGATTAATGATTGTTAATAAATATTGAGTTAGAACTCCATTTTGTGTTATAAAAAGTTCAGAATTTCCAATTAGCACGGTAATATCTATTGGAACAATTATTTAATTATTATCTTCCAGCGTAATAATCTATAACTCCTTCCATTTTCCTTATTTCTTTTCATCTTATGAATATAGTTAATTATAATAATTCAAATATAATTTTTTTATCCAATCCATCAACATCAGCTAGAGTTTCTCCAATTCCATAATAATATATAATATTCACTTTAATTAATAAGATGTATAAATTTAATTATAATTCAAATAAAAGACACCTAAAATATTTCACACATAATGATTTTTTATTCTGATTATCCAAATGGAAGGGTATTTAAACTTCCAGAACTATTGATTTAATATGCCATTCCGATATTTGAGCTCCCAACTTTAAAATCTGATAAAATCTATAAATCGTTATTATTTGAAGAAAAAGTAAAATAATATCCACTTAAAATTGATACACCTCCAAAAATAGGTCCATATTTAGTATGACAATATATGGCATATTCTTGACCTTCTTGTTTGATAGGATAAATTTCACTGTATTTTTATGAAAATAAAAATGATGATAATGTTTCATCTTTAACATATTGTCCATTTTAACTTTTAATCCACTTACATGGAGAGTATGCTCCAAATATAGTATCATTTTATAATGAAAAAACTATTAATAAGTTATCTTATCCGTCTACATTATTCCAAAATTTTTCAGCATTTAAATCACTTTTATACCATTTATAAATTAAATTTATTTTCTTTACCTATTTTTTTGATTTTTAAATAATAGTATCAATTATTTTTGATTGAAATTCTTTTGTAATTAATTGAGTATTTTGAATTGTTTTGGGAAATTTAGGGTTAATTTGATTTTTGAATGCAGTAGATTATTAATTAAATTAATTGTATAACTCTTATAAATTATTAAATTAATTATTTTCTTGATTCATATATTGATTATTATATTCCAGTAAATTAAATATTTTATTTTAAGTACTTTATAAATTATCTTTAGTTAAAATTTTGAAGTAAAAATACAGATTTCTTTCATTTTCACTTATCCTTTAAGGATTAATAGTTTCTTATAATTATTATAAATTATCAATATATCTTTTGAATTCATCAAATTTGATAATCTATTTTTAAATTCAATAATTACATATTCCAAATTTTCTCTTATCTATTATCTAAATTCATTATAACTCTTTTACAAAACTTATAATTCTATTTGTACATTTGTAAGTTAGATTTACAATTGTTATATAATGTTTTCTATTTCAATTAATTATAAATTTATATTATTGTCATCATTTTAATATAATTCTTTTAAGAAAGTTATTAATTGTTCAGAATTTATAATCTTGGAAGTCAAATATTCTGGTTGTTTTAATGCCTGCAATATATGACAATTATATTACTTTTTAAATATTAATTAATTTTGAAAAGTCTAATTGTTGATGCTAATCTAGCATATTAGTTTGGCAGAGGTCACAGAGAAAGTCAACTTGTTATTCTTTTAGAAAAATAAAATGGACATCAGATCCTTAATGTTTTAGACACGGAATTTTCATTAATAATTATAAATAATAATAACGAATTTAATCTAGAATATTCTTTATAAACTTAACGATATGTATAAATACTGCTTAATTAGGCAATTTGTGTTTCTTTTTATCATAACCATAATCTAACTGTATAGATTCGTTAAGTAGGTGAATTAGGTTATTGGTTATATCATAAATTTTATCTTAATCATATGGCTAAGATGCATAAAATAAAATTCCACATATATTTTCTGTAGTAAGGTAATTTAACAATTTTGACTCCATTATGTACCAAATGAGCTTTTAAATTATCCAACATTGATAATTAAACCCAACAAATGTTGCTTCAAAATTAACTTAACCCTTAAAATTACTAAATATTCCACTTGAGTAGAACTGCCAATTAGAATCATATTTTCTTAATGCCTTTTAAGATCTTTAAAATTTTCAGTAGTATTAACAAAAATTCCTCCTTATTCTATTTTACAATATGAAACTTTCAAAATGACCACCATTTTAAGCAATGAAATCTAATCCTGAATTTGAGAGCCCACCTTCACAAGAAGAATATTTCTAATTACAGTTTAATAATTATTAAACAGACAAGGTTTAATTTTGAGATTTAACTCTGCTACACCTTAAAAAATTTGGAGAACTGAAATTTTTCATATCTCTAACTTTAGTTATATTTCTAAAATCAAATGATAAGATTTAGTATTTTTTATTGTATTTTTAATCCTTCAAAGAAAGGAGAAATTAATAATATTGCAATGAATTCATCCTTTGTTAAATGACCAAATTGATTAATTTCCATTTTATAAGCTGATTCAGGATTTTAATTACGCTGTTCAATATTAATTTTTAGTTATTCAAAGATCCATTCTACTTTAACACTTGAATAATATCTAAGATTAATATCCTTCCAATTCTAAAATTATTCCTTTATAGATTATTTATCATTATTCACTTACATTTTAATTTTCATAAAATCAGAGTTATTTGACCTTCTATTTATTTCATTTAATCAATATAAATTTTTAACTCAATTTTTTATATATATTAAAATTTTTAGTAAATTCGATTAGCTCAAATATTGAATTTTATAAATATCAATATAATTTTCTTAAATAAAATAGTTTTAGGTTATTGTAAAAATGTGTTAATAAAAATAATTTAGAATCATGAATGAATAAGTATTTTTTTATAAACAAGTATATCATAAAATAATTAATTAGTTTAAGTAAGGGTTTGTTTTAATTTCAATTTTATATTCATAGAAAGCCATTGAAAATTTTAGATGTAAAAATTAACATTTCATTTTCAAATAAATTTTGTTGGATTTAAAGCATATTTATTAAATTGGATTAAGTTTCAACATTTGAGATTTACTTTTATTTTTAAATTAATATTAAAAGAAAAAATACATATATTTTATATGGAAATAGGTTAAAAAGTATAATTTCTAAAATTCCTAAATTTTTATTGGATTGATAGTGTCGAAAATGATAATATACCAATGTTATTAGAATTAGATAAATACTTAAACAACACGTAATTTATTTTAATGTAAAAACAACAAGGAATAGAAAATGACCAAATTTCATCTTTTATAGATGTTATTGTCAATTATTTATCTGAAGCATTGTCAATATTAAAGGCAGATTCTATCTTTATTCTTACTCGAGTTGTATGGGATCACATAAAAATATGATTGCCTTTAAAAAACAATTCTATTGATCAAATATTAAAAATTTGGGTTTATCACATTCAATTTAGAATCCATAAAATAATGAACCTAATTTATGATCAATATGTATTACAAATGAAATCAATATTTAATTATCATGTAATCATTAATTTTGCAGTAGTTGTTTAAATATGCATTTTGAAGAATAATTAAAATTCACATCCTTTCCAAAATGCTTATAATTTTAATGTAATCAGTGTATTCCAACTATTGTTTATTCACATTTGAAAAGATTTAAAAATTAATTAATATAGAGTGTTCTAAAAATAAAAAAAAATGTGGAAATAAAAGATGTTCCAATTTAATTGATAGTTTCAATAAATTAGGAAAAAAAATGATTGAAATTATTGTATAGAATAATTGTAATAGGAACATTGAGAAGGTAAAGTAATTTCTGGTTGAGCTTATTTTTAATGATTAGTAATAGTCATATCTTAAGAATGAAGTAGGTGAGGTTTGCTTTTTCTTTTTGTGCATCAATTTATAATTGTTTCTGATACTCTTATAGATAAAATATTTTTTCTTAAAATTATTTATTATAAATTAAAATCTATTTGGCCAAATATTTATAGAATCTTTCTCCTCTAAAATAGATTCTCGAGGTTGAATAAATTATTATTTCACTACTTCTGATTTAGGTTTATTTAACTACATCGTTTATAAATATAATTTAGAATCATTTAGATAAGAACTTAAATATCTATCAATTAAACATTTATTGAATTTTAATTTCTTCTTTAATTTAGTCAAATCATAATATCTCTCCCCTTATTTAACTATTTAATCATCAAATTTGAAGCACTTTTATTTTTCAGAATCTTCTAATAATCAGCTTAATTAGATATTAACCAAATTTTATTATTTTTCACCTTCAATTTAGAATGATATGAATTTAGTTAAGTTCGGATTTATGATGAACTTATAATTTAAAATCTTCAATTAATTTTATAAGATTATTATTAATACCCCAAGAACAAGTAATTTTAAAAATTTTCCTAACTATTTCTTTCACTCTATATTTATATGAATATTTTTGAAATATATTGAACAACTGGTTCTATTTATTTGAGGTATATTAAATTGAAAGATAGTTATGAAATTAATGTGGATCAAATAATATACAATTTGCATTAATATACTTATGTAATTTGCGGAAAACATTTGATATTCCTTTTAACATTGAATTCTTAACATCTTCATAAATTTGATAGATCTATACTCTTCTTCTTTGCAAATTAAGGATAACTCTCCATAAATTTATTAATTGACACTAGTCAAATAGATAGAATGACTTGGCAAGACAAGAGGTGAATTATGAACATTAACAACACTAAAATTCCATTAATATTTTATATTTTTTAATGTACTATGATATAGAATTTTCATCTATAACTCTTTTATCATCTGGCTCTAGCATTCTTACCACCAAATTTTCTTGATTCACACATTTATTTGCTTTCTATCTTAATAAATATATAATTTTACTAGCATTTATTTATACTCTTCAATTTCTTCCTTTGCTTTTAACTTTGATTTCATTCATTTTTATTTCTACATCCACTACTATATTTCTTTCATCTACTTTAACCTTTTGTTCCAATTACTTTTAATTT